GCCATTGTAAAAATGTTTTCATTTAGTTTTAGGTTTGTCATTATGCATGTGCCATCATCATGAGACCATGTATCTATTATTTCATACTTCAAGTTATCTTTTATTGATATTGATACCCCTCTGCTCTGACTGGAGCCATTGCTGTGTATAATTTCTCCTTGCCATTCTGTGTTGATATATTTTCAGATTTATATTGATAATTTAATAAAGTATCATAATCAAAAGCTTGACTGTATTTTCCTTTATCAACATACCATAAATGTCTTCTATTGTGTCGCCAGTAATTCTTATAATTACTCTGCTTCACATAATCATCCTTTACAAACTTATCATTACTGTTAAAACAAATGCACAGCGTGATAAAGTGTGTGAAGGAAGCCATGCAACAAGTTGAAATCATTATTTTTTTCATTAGTCCATAGACATATGTATACATATAAATCAACAATAGTGAGTACTTAACATACTGTCTATAATGATCCACAGGTATATAGTTGTTTTTTGAGTTCATACTGACTTGTCTCTTTGTTTCTTTTTTGCCTTTGATCCTGACTCTAGCTCTTCAGCTGGAGTTGGTGGAGACCGCAGATCTGGGGCTAAATTGCTAGATTTTCTGGATGGGGTAGATACGGTTATGAAATTGTCTAGTGTGGATTTCTGGTCTGTAATCTGTTTATCCTTTTTCTTGTCCTTCTTTCCTTTTTGAGTTTGTTCTTTTTCGGAGGTTCGAGGATGGGGATGTTTGGAAGTTGGGGCTGGGGTTTCACTGGTATTTTGCTGAAACCTGGTCTGTTTTGTACCAGCACCATCCTTACTTGTCTCTGCTTCCTCATACACCTCTTCATCTTCTTTTGTCTCCTCTTCGTCTCCTGAGTCAGCATTGCAGCTTGAAACGTCTTCATCAGAAACGTCTTCCCCTACACAGGTCTGGCACATTCTCTACATTTTATTTCGTTCGGACAGTTCTTGCCTAAGTGTCCTTCTTCAAGGCAGTTGTTGCACTTGAGCTTCCTGTTGATCTGACCGTTGTGGAGCACGACTGCTCTGTATCTTCCGATTTCCATAGATATTTCGAATGGCTGTGAGAATTTGTTTACCACAGCTATTCTGTCACCTGTCTCGCAGTTTGTAAGCCTACCATCGACTCTCAGTTTCTCTCGATAGAAACTTACAATCTCTATGTCTCTGATTGTGAAGATCCTTCGAATCTGGCCATCGTCAGCGGAAAGCGGTATATTCTTCACCCTGACCGTCATCACCGTATCCCTTCTCTGAGAATATAACGACGGTCGTGAAGGGTTAGAGTTGTATATCGGGATAGTTTTTGCTCGAAGATGTATCCCTGAAGTGAGGAGAGCGTCTCTACTCTTTTCACAGTCGGTGTATATTCTCCACAGACCACGTACACGTTGGATACCAACTATTGTCTCTCCTGGAATGGATCGGGATATCGCTTTGTATAATTCAACATGGTTGAGCCACTGCTCTCTCGGCGGCGTATTCAGACCAAATATGTCGGACTCTTTAATGAATACCGGCTTAGTCGAGTTCTTGGGTTTATCAGAAACATATATACATCACTATTAAGGTCTTTACCGATTCAGCACACTGTTGCTTAGTTTTTTCAGCGGTTTAGAGTTGAGACACCTGCAACTTGCACTCTTTGCTTGACAAAAGCTCGCTAAATAAGTTTTCAACTTCTGTTAATGTTCAAAACAAATTTCATTAGCCCTTATTGTTATACCAAACTGACGAATCTTATTCCAAAAATGTAAGTATTTGATTTAATGCACCGCAATTGCTTACAAATCTGGCCTCGTAACGCAGTTTTTGAACCCAAGGACCAGCAAGGCCTTGATAAACCGCTAGTGATAGCCTGTCAAATCGAGCCCTTGGCTCATTGCACGAGTCTCAAATATTAACACATGTTTATTTGAGGCTGGGCAAAAAGCCACTTTATCAGGCTGGTATAGTTTAGTTAAATTGTCGTCACGCACATATGGTGGCAGCGTCCTACTACTCACATTACAGAGTTACAGACTTTGATTGACCAACCACTTAACGACCAGGGACGCACAAAGGACGTGTCGGTAACGCATCCACACAGTCTAGAATTCCGTCAAAAAATACACGAGGTCAAGGTCAGGGCCCTGACCGATAGAGGGGAAACTTCACAGTACATATCGCCCTTCACAGCTTCAGCATGGCGCACAGTACATGTCAGTTCATTTACCCCTGATATGAACTCCAATTTTCTTAACACTAATGTAACACCAGTGCAAGTCCGTTCATTAAAAGTTCCGTATCCCCCATCTCTTGAACTCGTTTCCAACACTAGTCTGTTGTTTCGACTGGAAAAAAAAAAGATAAAAAAGGAATTATTACTGAATCATGTGGATTACGGAACTGTGTTTCACAATATAGAAATAACATTACATTTCCACATATTTATACTATGTCTTAAACCATTTCCTATTAAAATGTTAGATATTAGGTTTGTTTGACCATTAAATGTAAACTTTGTTAAGTAAAAGGGCTGAAGAATCATATTAAGTGAATTTTGAATGGTATAATTTCAACAAACATTTCAATAACATCCTCATATTGGCAAAAACCTGAATGGGTACTGTATAATGCTTTAAATTCGCTTGGTCAATATTTCGCGTTTTTGTTTACGGAACATATCTCATGGGGGTTAAATTTCGCTGTACACCCGCTTCTATATTTCACGAATCACTTATATATCAATAAAATACGACACGGTTCAATGAAAGCGTTACCTTTCTATGACGTCAGTGATGTGGTAAATATTTTCAATTGTTTTAGAATTCGCGGATTTTAATTAAAATGAGAATAAAGCGAAAATGAAAAGCCCGCGACATATAACCGCTATACAGTATATGAAGTCACAGAGTTGTGAAATAAGATTTGAATAGTTTGGAAGTCAAAAGCTTGCAACATTATATTACCCAAAAACTTGAGGAGAAACGTAAAACTTATATTTAAATTCCTTTAAATTTGATCTCCTTACTATTTCAAAACCAAATATGCTGAAGAGGACCTGTGAAAACAAGCAAACTTTTCAAACATATTTTAAAGGTTGCATTCAATACAATTCTGACGTAGAAACGAGGTTAAAATGCATACGCCATGTTAGAACTGAACAGTTAATTGAAATAAATGTGAGGTTTCTAGACATAACAAAGTAAACAAATGTTGACGATTAGTATCAGACTTTTCGAAATATGCAAAATACAAATCAATCTTCATTAGTACATCTCTCTGTTTTGCTATATCATGCAAATAATCCCCAGAAATGTGATGTATGAATGTCATTATTTTATTTTTATTTTATTTTGAAGCTTTTTAATTTATTGACCATGATCTTACCGAGGAACTTATAGACAGAATTGTTTTGTCCTAATTGGTAGACTCTGATGTGTTGTTTTTGGAAAATTACAAGATTTCATAAAATCAAATATCTGATAACTACAATATTTATTCGTGCTAAACTGCCATCTTATAATTTCAGAACAGTAGTAAGAAATGAACACGGGCAATTTAGGGTACCCGTACGACTGTTATAAAAGCATTGAGAACTGCTCTTTCAGGCATGACTGTAGCTTTGATAGATTATTTCTGAAAAGTAAACTATTCCTTGCGGGACGTCTATGAAAAGAATAAGGAAGAAAATAAACCAAAAAATATGAAACTTCAACGGGGCAAAACCGGAATTGGAACCCTGGACATCAGATTGTTATACTATCTTTGTATAAGCTGTACAATTTATCATCATTAATAGTATCTTTCTACGCTTTAACAGTTTACCAACATTTCAACCTATTGTTTACATTCTACGCTTTAACAGTTTACCAACATTTGAACCTATTGTTTACATTCCACGCTTTAACAGTTTACCAACATTTGAACCTATTGTTTACATTATACGCTTTAACAGTTTACCAACATTTGAACCTATTGTTTACAACTGCATACCTTGTCTGGCAAGTTTATAACAGATTTTTGCAAATGACAAATATGTGTGTCATCGCGACAAATAAAACGAATACATTTTAGAAGGAATAAGCTACTAATGTATTAATAGTCACATACTTGCTTAATTTTCCTTTCGGGGGAAAAAACGTGCTCAAAACTAAAATAAAAATAAACATTAATAAAATGTATTTGTATATCACCTAGGGACAAAATAACATTTTAAAATGACATCTTTTAGATAAATTCATTAGATATTAGAATTTATGAATAACTTAACAAATCAACTTGGTTTGAAATGTTCAATTTAAGGGTTTAAAATCTGGAATCTCCCTCGCAAATAGGTAGAATTGGCAAGTGTGTTGTCACTGTAACCATAATAGATATGTTTAGCATCCGGCTTTGGAAAATTTTACCCTAATAAATCTGAGAACATGTGGTATCCTCAGACACATGATAGTGGTATTGATATGTTGGTTTTGATAACCGCGCGTACATTTAAAAACTGGGGAAAGAAATAGTGTTCAAACTTCTTGACAAATTTAAAACCTCCTAGTCGGTCTAGTAGAGGTGTACTTAATAAATAAAAAGCAAAGCATCTGAAAGAAAACCTTGTTGTGTATGCCAGTTATACAATAGACTATATATGGTGACATCATAGTTACATACATTTCGTTGCAAACCTGTGACCTGTGTCTAAGCCGTGGCTGGAGAGGACGGTGACGGACCCTCTGATAGAAGTGGAGACGCGACGAGTCAGTAATATACATTTTGGCAAGCCATTTATAGACCTGGATTGTAAAATGCAGCCCGATATCGTCTTAAATAACTACACCTACTTAAAATGCAACCATCCTGCAGGCTTAATACGCATAGCCTCCTGAAAATAAGCATTGTAGCAGTAAACCAAATGTTTCTATATTTAGAACTGGCTGGTGCATTCAATGTAGGCATCTGAGCGTTTAACTGAGCAGGGAATCAAAGGAATAAGCAGGTTCGTGATAAAGACTTTTTATAAAAGGCTGCCGCGAAGGATTTGATGAGCAGACGTCCGGACAAAAATGTGCAGTTTTTCCAAAGTAGGAATATCCCATAAGACTTATGTAGATTTATTCACTATAAAAGCTGTTCTGCATCCGAAACCGGTCGGATTTTGCAGATATTTCGTTTGTTATTTGTTTTGTTAATATCATATATATTATGTTTAATTATTATCTATAAATTACTACAGTAACAATCCTTCAAATATCTACTTAGTACTGTAAAAACAATATTAAATATCAACATGTCAACATGCATCGTTATCCCTTGTAAATGTAAATTATTATAACTGTAACGGAACTGGACTAGGTCGATCGTCGGCGAACAGATAGCTAAATTGGTTGAGCGTCCGTCTAGAGTTCAGAGGAACCCGGGTTCGAGCCCCGGTCTGGCCGTGCATTTTCCCTCTCCTGTTACATTTGGCGCCCAACGAAATATACCCACATAAGGTGGTATAGGGTCTCGTGTGTCTTCGGGGTCAAAGACTTTGTTAAAAGAGGGAGGAATGTAGCGTAACAGGACTGAGTCGATCGTCGGCGACCAGATAGCTGAATTGGTTGAGCGTCCAGAAGGTCCCGGGTTAGAACCCCGGTCTGGTCGTGCATTTTCCCTCTCCTGTTACATGACAATATAATATGTAGTTTTGCCTGAATATATATCCGTATGAGGAAAACATAGTGTTCATACAACTCATTCGTGACTAGAAGTAAGAAATGATTATTTAAAAGATTACGGATATGCTCTTTGAGAACTAAATCACGTTCAGAAATCGTTTTGATTTACTGTAACAAGCTTAACGTCATCGATTGTAACGGATCCTTTGCTTTGCTCTCCGGCAAGCCCGAGATAAAACAAATCCAAATTAAGTTGCATCTGACCATGCTTTAATTTGGCATTAAAGTGTAAACCGACATTTCCCATATGCAAGCCGGTATACACGATTCTGTGTAAATAAAACACCGATATTAATGAGTAAAATTTAATAAATTATGATCAATTATTAATTTTACAAGCAAAAACGAATCTGCAAAATGTGTCCAAGCCTAGATAATCTTTGTATGCATCACTTTCGTTAAACACGTTTTTGGAAAGAAAGAAATCAGCAGCTAATTTGAATATTTAACAAAAACGTGAATCTCTCCACGGTATGCCATTTTTTAAATCCCTTCTTTGACACTAGATGAATCCCTCAAATTGTCTTTGTAGCAAGTTGACGTCTGCTGTACATGTTCAGAATATTCAATATAACCAAAATGATTTGTAAAAATAAAATGGAAATTATACGATATCGATATTTTATTATTCCTTTTTTTTTAAACTGAAGCCCTTTTGTTTAATAATCCCCAAAATGTTGAAAATATAACAAAATAATAAGGTATGGGCACTAACATTAAGTCAGTAGGAAAAGCTTTTCACGAGAGCAGATCCTAAAAACTGAAAGGATGCGTGCAGAAATGTGCCCAGAAGTTGTTATTTATTTGTACTTACATTCATTGAATCTTAAACAAACCGAGCAGGACCTGATGTTATAAGATCAAGTGATAACATCACAATGACTGAAGATTTTTGTTTTATTTGTTAAAATATTCACAAAAGTGCACATTAGGTGCACAACAAAACCTAAATATCATTCATGCGAACAAACAAAATATCTGACAGTAAACATGCAAGTAATAATATTTGCATTTGCATGGCATTGTCACTATAAAGCCTCTTTGAAAGCTATGTCGTTGATGGGACTTTAATTACCATGCATCACGAGACACAATTCTTTCTCTTAGCGTATTAAAACAACACTGACCGGAACTACAATATCCAATATAAATAAACATGACGGCTGCTGAAATATCGCTGGGCAATGTGAGATTTGACAATGCCATTGTAAATTTATGTGCAAAATAAAAAATAAAATAAAAAACACTTTTTTTACAACGAAAACAAGACCAATGTCTGCAATATCGTACAAAATGCACATCGGTTGAAATCACCAATGCTGGCAATGGAAACAATTTTAACGCTCCTGCAATTTATCAGAAATATCGTCTGTTATACTGCACTGATCTACAGGAGTTCGTTACAAATGTCTGAAATACACATATTATATAGACCTACTGACACATATGTTACAGACCTACTGATATGAGTCACAGCACACATAAACATTTCAGACATTTGTAACGGACCTGTGCTCCGTCGCAAGATCACTCACTTCAAACGCTATCTTTCACGCGTCTCGCATCCACCATTCCTAAGTTTCTGACGACATGTCAAATAACGAGGATGTTATAGAATCCACAGACTGTTGTCAGGTTCCCATACAATTAACAAATACATTTAGGCCTGGGTAGTTCGAATTAACTTCCAAAAATAACTCCCTCGTGGAGGGCAAGGTCGGATTTACGGTGTTCACTGTATTTGTCCATGCGCGAAATTTGTTCCGGGGAAAAATCGAAACAATTTCAAGTATAACTTTCAGCTAAGAGTTCTATTGATAAACTTAAATCACCCTATAGACATATCATACGCAATTGTATTGATACTGAATTGTGGAATAAAATTGAAGTGTTTGTTAAAATTTCAAAGTACTACTTTGTTTGCCAATCAGCACGCGACAATACGCTGTTCAAACTATTGAACGAAATTGTGTGGACTGTCGATAAGGCGGGCATTTTTAATTTTAAATATAAATTATAAGTTAAAAAAGAACATAAAAGGCAGAGAAAATGTAAATATAAGTATTGAACTGTTTTTGTATGGTATTTATGATCGATTTGAATGACACAGCTTTGCAAGCAAACAACATAATGCGCTAAACAGTTCAATGCTTAAATATATTTTAGTTTCATAAGGCAATAGCATACGCATTTGGCAACATCATATGACTGAGACAACACCAAACGAAGTGATTATTCAATAGAACTTCACTCATGAGAAGTTTTGTCAATGGTTTTCGGTAAAAGGGGAAGGAATACATTGATTAAAAACGGAATGATATAAATGATGACACATATAAAAAGCCATTTCTTCATTAAATTCATTGTATTACTTTACACTGATTAATTATGATCTGCCATGAGTTCCAATCACGATTTATGATATGCTTTTCAAGAATATAAATAAAGCAAGAAGGACTTGAAGTGAGTTGGTATTACTATCTAAATTGTGTTATTCATTAATATAACAGCATTTGTATATAAATTGCAATTACACCGTATACCAGGCTGGGCATATGATGATGGTATGATACTGTATAACGTGCTGAGTGTATGATGGTGTTATAACACGATATATTAGTCTAAGTACATGATGGTGTTCAGTTATAACACTGTAACACAGTCTAAGTATGTAATTGTGTACTGTAGATCAGTCTGAATATATGACGGTGTTATTACACTGTAAAGTAGCCTGAGTGTATGATGGTGTTATTGCAATGTGTAGTAGCCTGAGTATATGATGGTGTTATTACACTGTAAAGTAGCCTGAGTATATGATGGTGTTATTACGCTATATAACAACCTGAGTATATGATGGTGTTATTACACTGTAAAGTAGCCTGAATATATGACGGTGTTATTACACTGTAAAGTAGCCTGAGTATACGACGGTGTTATTACACTATATAACAGCCTGATTATATGACGGTGTTATTACACTGTAAAGCAGCCTGAGTATATGCCGGTGTTATTACACTATATAACAGCCTGATTATATGACGGTGTTATTACACTGTTAAGTAGCCTGAGTATATGATGGTGTTATTTCAATGTGTAGTAGCCTGAGTATATGGCGGTGTTATTTCACTGTAAAGTAGCCTGAGTATATGATGGTGTTATTACACTATATAACAGCCTGATTATATGACGGTGTTATTACACTGTCAAGTAGCCTGAGTATATGATGGTGTTATTTCAATGTGTAGTAGCCTGAGTATATGACGGTGTTATTACACTGTAAAGTAGCCTGAGTATATGATGGTGTTATTACACTGTATAGTAGCCTGAGTATATGATGGTGTTATTACAATGTGTAGTAGCCTGAGTATATGACGGAGTTATTACACTGTAAAGTAGCCTGAGTATATGAAGGGGTTATTACACTGTGTAGCAGGCTGAGTATATGATGGCGTTATTACACTGTAAAGCAGCCCGAGTATATGATGGTGTTATTACACTATATATCAGACTGAGTATGTGATAGTGCTATAACACTGTAAAGCAGCCTGAGTATATGATGGTGTTATGACACTGTAAAGTAGCCTGAGTATATGACGGTGTTATTACACTGTAAAGTAGCCTGAGCATATGATGGTGTTATTACACTGTATATCAGACTGCGTATGTGATAGTGTTATAACACTGTAAAGCAGCCTGAGTATATGATGGTGTTATTACACTGTATATTAGACTGAGTATGTTATAGTGTTATTACACTGTATAGCAGTCTGAGTATGTGATAGTGTTATGACAATGTAAAGCAGCCTGATCATATGATGGCGTTATTACAATGTGTAGCAGGCTGACTATATGAAGGTGTTATTACACTATATAACAGCCTGAGTATATGATGATGTTATTACACTGTAAAGCAGCCTGAGTATATGATGGTGTTATTACACTGTATATCAGACTGAGTATGTGATAGTGTTATTACACTGTATAGCAGCCTGAGTATATGACGGTGTTATTACACTATATAACAGCCGAGTATATGGCGGTGTTATTACACTATATAACAGCCTGAGTATATGATGGTGTTATTACAATTTGTAGTAGCCTGAGTATATGATGGTGTTATAACACTATATAACAGCCTGAGTATATGATGGTGTTATTACACTGTAAAGTGGCCTGAGTATATGAAGGTGTTATTACACTGTGTAGCAGGCTGAGTATATGATGGCGTTATTACACTGTAAAGCAGCCTGAGTATATGATGGTGTTATTACAATGTGTAACAGCCTGATTATATAATGGTGTTATTACACTGTAAAGTAGCCTGAGTATATGAAGGTGTTATTACACTGTGTAGCAGACTGAGTATGTGATAGTGTTATAACACTGTAAAGCAGCCTGAGTATATGATGGTGTTATTACACTGTATATAAGACTGAGTATGTGATAGTGTTATTACACTGTATAGCAGTCTGAGTATATGATAGTGTTATGACAATGTAAAGCAGCCTGGTCATATGATGGCGTTATTACAATGTGTAGTAGCCTGAGTACATAAAGGTGTTATTTTAATATGTAGCAGGCTGAGTATATGAAGTTGTTATTACACAATATAACAGCCTGAGTATATGATGATGTTACAATGTTAGCAGTCTGAAGACATGATGGTGTTATTACACTGTATACTATCCTGAGTATATGATGATGATATTACACTGTATACTATCCTGATTATATGATGATGATATTACACTGTATAGTATCCTGATTATATGATGATGATATTACAACGTGTAACAGCCTGATTATATAATGGTGTTATAACACTGTATAGCGGTAAAGTAACTGACAGTCTATTATCACCTGCCAATACTTGCCATTATAACAACTACCGAATTATTTTCTGTATTAAAATTACTTGTATTTATGTACTTTTTTCTCCTCCCTCGGATGACGTGTTCCTCCTCGGAGATCCTGTCTGCACCTTGGAGGTCGTGCCTCATAATCAGAGTCTCTCCCCCGTAGGCCATGCTTATCCTTCCTAAGGTTTTTTTTCTCTTTCTCTCTCTTTATAGTCATATCTCACTCGGACGACATGTCAATCCCTTGGAAGTCTCAATATCGGTAGTCGTCATAGACAAGCTAAGGAAATTAGCTCAATACATTTTTGTTTGACCCAATAAATTGCATACTCATAAGATAGCTATATTTACCTTGTATAAAAGTTTTTTGAAAAAGTTAATGCATTTATATACAAATATTCCACATTCCACATCAAGTTTTATTTTAATCTGTTAGTGACAAGGAGACATGCAGGTTTTTTTGTTCCTGTTATCTGGAATCCAATAATACATTTACAATCAAAATCGATAACCACATAACGATTAAGCAGCTTGGAGAAATACTTTTCAGACTTAATGTAATTTGTTAACATATGTTCAATAAATAGTCAGTCATTCTAGATTCAAGCTTTCAGGATTAGTCCTGAATCAGAAAATAGATAGTCTTCACCTCTATGCCATATCCATACTCTATGTCCTGGTGATTTGGTTAGCCTTCGTTTTGTTAAACATAGTGATATGCATTTACATTTTATGTTCAATAGATGAATGTTCAAACGTAAACCCTAAGCACACTCAACGAATAGAATTACGTTAGGTACATGTCCTTACAACACTGCTGAGCTGATAAGTAGTTAATGGTATATTAGTAGTTAGTCACTACAAATAACGTGCACTGTGTGCTCATGCGTCACGTGGAGGAAGGTTGGCAGGCATGAGTAAGTCACGTGACCTTTCCGTGTTATTACGTGTAGAAGTAGAAAAAGTGGTTTTCATACTTGTTCTGTTCAAGTCATTCCCTTTTCTTTTATGTACAAACAAGGTTTTGTAGTTGAAGGCTAGAAACACTATAGGATTCGCCATACTGTTTAACGGCGCCAATGGAAACAAGATAAACGTTGTGCAGGTAAAATCCACTACTCCATACACCGTCAACAAAAAGTTGATGGTATGAGGACTCCAACAGATCAGAAACACTGCAAATACACAAAGAAACGCTGGATTTACATGACGAAACACCGAAAATATAAACAGAGTAGTATCAATTGATGTTTAAAGTCATAATCTTGCTAAACAGATTGCTAAGATAGCAATGAAATCGATTTTACGTTTTTTCTGAAATAACTAACGAATATTGCATTCTTACCTGAAACGACGGCAAACATGACTTTTGTACTTCGTATTTTAGCTCGTCTAACCACGTCTGTACGTTTGCCGTCCGTTTTACCATTCCCTGTAATATACATAGTACTAAACAAAAAATACTATATCAATATGTCTACCTTGCTGAAATACACAGCGTAATTATATAGTTAAAGTTTCATATAATATGGAATGTTCTCCTCTATTACATAAGTATTTTTTTTCAATGTGTGGCTAATATTTCTGTAAGGCGAATAATTTTCGTCCTTTTTTAGGACCTGAAAGATTTATGGCATTACAATAACTTGTATTCATTAAGGCGAAATCTAAAACAAATGTCCTGGATTAGGTGTGGCTGCGTGTGGAGCGTTTACTATTCAGCGCATGTTTAGCAATGAACACGCCCACGCAGAACCGTATTGGACAAGTAAAGACCAGCTTGCTTTGGGGTATCTGTCACTTGGCAATCCCTATGTTAAGGTTATTGTTGCTTCAAATCGTACAACACATGCATAAGAATAATTTATTGATAATCAAATACTTGCTATAAAACTCCACAAAAAGTACAAAAAAATAGAAATTCTCTTAGGTAGAAAATCTAAAATATTTACAACATTGTATAAATGTTTAAATACTTAACATGCATGAATTAGAAACCAAAACGACACTGATAACATTAAATAAACATGCTACAACGAAAAATGTTAAAGACTGAAAAGTTTCATAACGATAATGATGGGTGTCATATAACAGAGACTGTTCTGCGTTGCTGGACGTTTTTGGTACATACGTCTTACATTGTATTGTTTATTTACTACTTCGGAGAGATTTTCTACCCGAGGGATTTTAGTAGACGTTGTAGAAGTTGTATGGTTGCCATTTTGACCTGAGGAATCAGAACATATCTGGATTAAATATTTGACTATCATATTTAAATCTTTGGTGGCGTGTATATTAAATTGGACGGGATATACCATCTCATATACCGAATGTGGTACAGAAAACGCTCTAAGGCAAGGGTTTCTATCTCCGTTACTTGATTTTAAGGCGTGGAATGTTAATATAACCCATTTTGTCTCTTATTCAGTGTGTCTTCATGCCCAACATAGTATCAAAGAGTTGACGGGAGACAACATGGCGGGTGTCATGTTAGGTGCAGGAGTGAGGTTTACTCCTCAGGAGCACGTGGATTTCTATAAATGTAAAGACTGTCGTTCCGTTTGTTTTGGTGTCGACTCAGTTCTCGTTGTTGTCTTTTATATCAACTTTGAGACTTTCCAGATTTTGTCGTTGTGTATTAACAAATATGGGCCAAATTCTTTAAAGAATATGAAATAAGAAATAATGGCCAAAAGTTATTATTTTGTGAGCGTGAACACACATATACATACCGGTCTGTTGGCAGAAAATACCCTCACATTTTGTTTTCATGAATGCCATTGTAATGAGATCTTCTTGTAATAATATGCCATTATTTACAACTGGTGTTCGGAACTTGTGAGTTGGCAGTTAATTAAAGGAGCAAAACAAAAAAAACCCAGAAGCGTCTCATATAGAATGAACAAATAAGAGTTACCTGGAAGAATATTTTTCGAAAACATGGCGATCGCTGAAATAGAAAATGATGATATGATGTAAATGTGTTTCAGTAAAAGCGGGGGTACTATAACATATTTAACACTTAAGGTCGAGGAAGGAAGGATAATTGTATAAGTCGCAGAAGGACGTTCCTATAGGTCACAGATGAATTATTTAATTGGTCACTACATGTACATATATATATATATATATATATATCATATTACAGATTGCTGAAAAATGGTTTTATAGGTCGCCGTTTTGATTTTATTTATCACGGACGTATACTTTCATAGGCAACTGACTTATATTTTATGTGTCTCTGATTTGTGATTTTGATAGGTCGTATGATGCCCACAGAACTGTGAGTTCATATAGCTCGTTTATGCACTTTCGTTAGTCGCGTATCACCTCACCTATCACATATGATATGATATGTCACAGGCGTATTATTATAGAGGTCGCGGAAATGTAACAGAGGTCACTATTTTGTCAATGCTTCGGCTAGGAGTCCAACCAAAGACCCCTTGGTAATTAGTATAACGCTCTACCGAATGAGCTAGCCGAGGCGGAAAGTATTTTGTACCAAGGTGATCGAGATCATTATATATTTTGCCGATGCAGAAATATATATTTTACAGAAGGTTTTTTTTATCAAGCTGCCGTATTTTGAAAATATTTTTGGACGTTTTTAAATCTTGTGGACATTCTTCTATTTCGCGGACGTAATTGCAAAGTTCATACAACGGTATATTCGTAGCATGAAAAACAAAACTTGAACTATTCATAGAGAGTTAGCGGAATGATTTACTATCTACAGTAGCGAGCGAAATGTACTGTAGGACTAATAGTTCACAGGAAGTAGTTTATTTATGGGTAATTTAACCTAGCAGACGTTCACAGGAAGTAGTTTATTTATGGGTTATTTAACCTAGCAGACGTTCACAGGAAGTAGTTTACCTATCGGTAATTTAACCTAGCAGACGTTCACAGGAAGTAGTTTATTTATGGGTAATTTAACCGAGCAGACGTTCACAGGAAGTAGTTTATCTATGGGTAATTTAACCTAGCAGACGTTCAAAGGAAGTAGTTTATTTATGGGTAATTTAACCGAGCAGACGTTCACAGGAAGTAGTTTATCTCTGGGTAATTTAACCTAGCAGACGTTCACAGTAAGTAGTTTATCTATGGGTAATTTAACCTAGCAGACGTTCACAGGAAGTAGTTTATCGATGGGTTATTTAACCTAGCAGACGTTCACAGGAAGTAGTTTACCTATCGGTAATTTAACCTAGCAAACGTTCACAGGAAGTAGTTTATCTATGGATAATTTAACCTAGCAGACGTTGACAGGAAATAATTTATCTATGGATAATTTAACCTAGCAGACGTTTACAGGAAGTAGTTTATCTATGGGTTATTTAACCTAGCAGACGTTCACGGGAAGTAGTTTATCTATCGGTAATTTAACCTAGCAGACGTTCACAGGAAGTAGTTTATTTATGGGTAATTTAACCTAGCAGACGATCACAGGAAGTATTTTATCTATGGGTAATTTATCCTTGCAGACGTTGACAGGAAAGAGTTTATCTATGGATAATTGAACCTAGCAGACGTTGACAGGAAATAGTTTATCTATGGATAATTTAACCTAGCAGACGATCACAGGAAGTATTTTATCTATGGGTAATTTAACCTAGCAGACGCTCACAGGAAGTAGTTTATCTATGGGTAATTTAACCTAGCAGACGTTCACAGGAAGTATTTTATCTATGGGTAATTAAGCCTAGCAGACGTTCACAGGAAGTAGTTTATCTATGGGTAATTCAGCCTAGCAGACGTTCACAGAAAGTAGTTTATCTATGCGTAATTTAACCTAGCAGACGTTCACAGGAAATAGTTTATCTATGGATAATTTAACCTAGCAGACGTTCACAGGAAGTAGTTTATCTATGGGTATTTTAACCTAGCAGACGTTCACTGGAAGTAGTTTATCTATGGGTAATTAGTACATTTAAATATACCAGCATATAGAATAAAATAAATATATAGAATTGAATAAATGATATTTAAAAGTATTACTTTTATTTTTTGTTGCTGTAAAAATTCACAGAAAAAAACGACATCAAAAACACGTGCATTATTTTCTAGATATTTAAGCATATTGGTTTCATTTTTATACACCTAAACAAGACACATACTTAGTAATTTTGTATATACGTAAAACATACATTTCCTTCCCAAAACACAACATCACACAACAGTTAGAGATACAAAAAACATTCATTATGTAAGATCTACATTATTAATATCAACAAAAGGAGGATTTCTTCATTCAAATTCCTGTCTACGCTACTACCACAGTACACATTTTAATAAACGCTAATATTCAGTATCATTTAAACCAGATGCATTGTCGATAAGACCAGGTATGGGTTTTAGTATAACATCTCTCCAGGAGAAGTGAGAAAAAGTTAACCACAGTTAATTGAAAACTGTTATCAATTGGAAAATTTTGTTAATTTTAATAGTTCATTACTCATAACATTTATTTTAAACAAGGCATATGTTTCTAGACACAATATTCGTTTCTATTGAGTTACTTTACATGAATATATCATAATTTTATAGCAGCAATACTTGAACACTTGTAACGTTACGTTGTTTTGTTCTGAGAGCTAAACCGATCCATTGTTAATGATAATAAGTATCACTTGTACCTTAATTTTCCTATTTCAGAAACGTAGTCCAACCATACTGCCCTAGCCATAACATATTACCGATAGTAAATCATCTGACTACAATGTACAATCAGGGTACTGTTACCCTATAGGATACATCTGACTCCAATGTACAATCAGGGTACTGTTACCCTATAAGATACATCCGACTACAATGTAAAATCAGGGTACTGTAACCCTATAGGGTATATCTGACTACAATGTAAAATCAGGGTACTGTTACCCTATAGGATACATCTGACTACAATGTACAATCAGGGTACTATAACCCTATAGGATACATCTGACTAAAATGTACGATCAGGGAACTGTTACCCTATAGGATACATCTGACTACAATGTAAAATCAGGGTACTGTTACCCTATAGGATACATCTGACTACAATGTACAATCAGGGTACTGTTACCCTATAGAATACATCTGACTACAATGCACAATCAGGGTACTGTAACCCTATAGGATACATCTGACTACAATGTACGATCAGGGTACTGTTACCGTATAGGATACATCTGACTACAATGTAAAATCAGGGTACTGTTTCCCTATAGGATACATCTGACTACAATGTACAATCAGGGTACTGTTACCCTATACGATACATCTGACTATAATGTACAATCAGGGTACTGTAACCCTTTAGGATACATCTGACTACAATGTACAATCAGGGTACTGTTACCCTATAGGATACATCTGACTACAATGTACAATCAGGGTACTGTAACCCTTTAGGATACATCTGACTGCAATGTACAATCAGGGTACTGTAACCCTATAGGATACATGGGAAGTAACACCGTGGACAGCTCACCTTCTTTTTGCTGCTTTGCGTTGATGGCGTATTTAGTTCTCCGTGAAACAACAGCCACGATCCAGCTATAGCAGATTGTAACTATCAGGGCGGGGACGAACACGTTAACTACAGCCTCCAGCATGATAAAGGGTTTAATCTACCAAAAAAAGAAAATATGTACTAATGGTAGTCACAGCCTCCAGCATGATAAAGGGTTTAATCTACCAAAAAAGAAAATATGTACTAATGGTAGTCACAGCCTTCAGCATGATAAAGGGTTTAATCTACCAAAAAAGAAAATATTTACTAATGGTAGTCACAGCCTTCAGCGTGACAAAGGGTTTAATCTACCAAAAAAGAGAATATGTACTAATGGTAGTCACAGCCTCCTGAGTGACAAAGGGTTTAATCTACCAAAAAAAGAAAACATGTACTAATGGTAGTCACAGCCTCCTGAGTGACAAACGAAATTACCTTAAAACAAGGGTCTTTATAGTAGTTATTGCTTTCAATGTGACAAAGTGTCTCCTCCACAGAAAATAGAACAAAATGTGTTCTTTAAAGTAAAATAAATGAAAAACGAATGTGTTAACTCCAGCCTCCAGTAGGGAAAACCCGAATGTGTGTACTTATAGTAAAAACAGTATCCAGAGTGACAAACGTTCTTCTAAATAATAACAGAACTGTGTCGATATAGCGTCAAGCGTGACAAATGATCTAATCTTTACTAAAGAATAGAATAAACAGCTTTCAGAAAGACTAAGAGAGTTAAATTTAATTTGCATCTAATGAGTGCTTCGAGCGTGATAAAGACAAGCGTCTACAGGCAACAGTCAGAAGACGATTATTGATAGTTAACATGATTAATTTACCATTAACTAACTATTGTTGACTAATAACTGAAACCTGAATGTTGCTTTAACTTACAAGGGGCTCCGGATACTCCGTTTCACAAAGTTTCACACCATTATCAAACGCCATCAAGTCTGAATAAATGAGGTCCTTCACAGCAACACAAGCGGCAACTGCCCAGGCTGACACGACCAGTAACCGGCGGTAGGTCAGTCCTCGTCGTGTGGCAGATAGAGGCTTGGCTATGGCGTACACGCGGTCTACGCTCATGAACACTAGCATGTAGGTAGAGGAATACATAGCCAGTTGGTTAAGGTACATGTACATCTTACACGGGCCATAGCCAGCATACCACTGTCCCACCAGTCGCGTGATGAAGAAAGGTAAAATATAAAAGATTGCCATCGAGAAATCTGGAAAAAAAGTACAAAAGATTATGTTACAGCATTTTTATATGTTTTATATAATATTTGTCGTTATAACAACACACTCTCTATCCCGAGTTGTCGTTATTACAACGCACTCTTTACCACGAGTTGTCGTTATTACAACACTCTCTCTATCCCGAGTTGTCTTTATTACAACACACTCTCTACCTCGAGTTGTCGTTATTACAACACCCTCTCTATCCCGAGTTGTCGTTATTACAACACCCTCTCTATCCCGAGTTGTCGTTATTCCAACTGCCTCTTTACCACGAGTTGTCGTTATTACAACCCACTCTCTACCACGAGTTGTTATGTCAACACACTCTCTATCCCGAGGTGTGGTTATTACAACACACTCTTTACCACGAGTTGTCGTTATTACAACACTCTCTCTACCACGAGTTGTCGTTATTACAACACCCTCTCTATCCCGAGTTGTCGTTCTTACAACACACTTTCTACCCCGAGTTGTCGTTCTTACAACACACTTTCTACCCCGAGTTGTCGTTATTACAAAACACTCTTTACCACGAGTTGTCGTTATTACAACACTCTCTCTATCCTGAGTAGTCGTTATTACAACACACTTTCTACCCCGAGTTGTCGTTCTTACAACACACTTTCTACCCCGAGTTGTCGTTCTTACAACACACTTTCTACCCCGAGTTGTCGTTCTTACAACACACTTTCTACCCCGAGTTGTCGTTCTTACAACACACTTTCTACCCCGAGTTGTCGTTATTACAACACCCTCTCTATCCCGAGTTGTCGTTATTACAACACACTCTCTACCACGAGTTGTTATTTCAACACACTCTCTATCCCGAGTTGTCGTTATTACAACACACTCTCAACCCCGAGTTGTCGTTCTACACACTTTGTAAGTTGTCGTTATTACAACACACTCTCTACCCCGAGATGTCGTTATTACAACACACTCTCTACCACGAGTTGTTATTTCAACACACTCTATATCCCGAGTTGTCGTTATTACAACACACTCTCAACCCCGAGTTGTCGTTCTACACACTTTGTAAGTTGTCGTTATTACAACACACTCTCTACCCCGAGATGTCGTTATTACAACACACTCTCTACCACGAGTTATCGTTATTACAACACACTCTCTACCCCGAGTTGTCGTTATTACAACACACTCTCTAGCACGAGTTGTCGTTATTACAACACACTCTCTACCCCGAGTTGTCGTTATTACAACACACTCTCTACCAAGAGTTGTCGCTATTACAACACACTCTCTATCCCGAGTTGTCGTTATAACAACACACTCTCTACCACGAGTTGTCGTTATAACATCACACTCTCTACCACGAGTTGTCGTTATTACAACCCACTCTCTACCACGAGTTGTTATTTCAACACACTCTCTATCCCGAGTTGTCGTTATTACAACACCCTCTCTACCACGAGTTGTCGTTATTACAACACACTCTCTACCACGAGTTGTTATTTCAACACACTCTCTATCCCGAGTTGTCGTTATTACAACACACTCGCTACCCCGAGTTGTCGTTATTACAACACACTCTCTAGCACGAGTTGTCGTTATTACAACACACTCTCTACCACGAGGTGTCGTTATAACAACACACTCTCTACCAAGAGTTGTCGTTATTATAACACACTCTCTACCACGAGTTGTCGTTATTACAACACGCTCTCTACCACGAGTTGTCGTTATTACAACACACTCTCTATCCCGAGTTGTCGTTATAACAACACACTCTCTACCAATAGTTGTCGTTATTACAACACACTCTCTACCAAGAGTTGTCGTTATTACAACCCACTCTCTACCACGAGTTGTTATTTCAACACACTCTATATCCCGAGTTGTCGTTATTACAACACACTCTCAACCCCGAGTTGTCGTTCTACACACTTTGTAAGTTGTCGTTATTACAACACACTCTCTACCCCGAGATGTCGTTATTACAACACACTCTCTACCACGAGTTATCGTTATTACAACACACTCTCTACCACGAGTTGTCGTTATAACATCACACTCTCTACCACGAGTTGTCGTTATTACAACCCACTCTCTACCACGAGTTGTCGTTATTACAACACGCTCTCTACCACGAGTTGTCGTTATTACAACACACTCTCTACCACGAGGTGTTATTTCAACACACTCTCTATCCCGAGTTGTCGTTATTACAACACCCTCTCTACCACGAGTTGTCGTTATTACAACACACTCTCTACCAAGAGTTGTCGTTATTATAACACACTCTCTACCACGAGTTGTCGTTATTACAACGCACTCTCTACCACGAGTTATCGTTATTACAACACACTCTCTACCACGAGTTGTCGTTATTACAACACACTCTCTACCCCGAGTTGTCGTTCTACACACTTTGTAAGTGAGTGTAATGAATGAAAACTCTGGATAGAGATTGGTTACAACAGTGTCTGTGTCAAAATGTCTGACCATATGAATCATTTTTGTCGTTCACTCGGCGGTGGTAGGGTCAACAGTTTAATCTGTTTGTTACCCAACAATAAAAATAACTTACTACATACAAGGAATTTGTCATATTCTTGTTCACTAGTGTTCCTTGTTATTATAATATTACTTCCCTGATTCTCGTTTTGAGGACGAGAAATCATTTTGGTTTGATCTAGATTATCATGGCAATGTCACAGAAGATGCTTATCCTGCAGGAACACCTGGTCCCCTATACTTTTCAATCGTCTCGGTATAAATCTTTCCTTGTTTTTATTTTTACAGATTTTGAGTGCAAATTGATGTTTTATAACATTACTATTTTTGGTTTTTACATTTTGTAGCGCGAAGACCGAAATCATGATACATTCATTGAAAGGAAGTCACTCACCTGAAATAGCCAAGTTAAGGACGAAGAAAGCCATCTTATTTTGTTTTCCTTTCCTGATTATCAACAGAATGACAGTTCCGTTAAGGATAAGTGTTAGAATTAGCTCCACCCCAAGTATGGCCTGTTGTATCGGTAGAACCCACTGTCACAACAAAAAGAATTCTAAGTATTAAAACATCTTTAAAGTTAACATACTCATTGAAGGGTACCTATGAAACCAGGTATTAGATACATACATGAACTACACTGCACCACACATCTGCTTCGTTCTCCTAGGACTCATCGGTGTTGCTAAGGGCAAAACAATGTTGATCTCAACTACTGAAGGGGAGGTGCGTGAATCCCTTAATTATATGATTTTTATAAATAAAAAGGGTACTGGTTGATTTCTAATTTCTAATGGATACAGTGTGCAAGCAATGAACCGTGCCACTTCTCGAAAGAGATAATTGTGGATATCATGGTTACATTAAAAGTGTTTTTATTCCCTTTGTCGCCGATATCTATAAAATCAGACAGACTTATGAATTAAATGTATCTTTTACAATTTTAAGAAATACGGGCCTAGGTTTAGTACGAGTACGTAACATAGACGTATGGTACAGATCAACAGAATACAGTCTCCCAAACTCCAAACTGTGTTATTGGTAGGTAGATCACCTGTGTTATTGGTAGGTAGATCACATGTGTTATTGGTAGGTAGATCACATGTGTTATTGGTAGGTAGATCACCTGTGTTATTGGTTGGTAGATCACCTGTGTAATTAGTAGGTAGATCATCTGTGTTATTGGTAGGTAGATCACCTGTGTTATTGGTAGGTACATCACCTGTGTTATTGGTAGGTAGATCACCTGTGTTATTAATAGGTAGAACATCTGTGTTCTTGGTTGTAAGATCACCTGTGTTATTGGTAGGTAGATCACATGTGTTATTGGTAGGTAGATCACATGTGTTATTGGTAGGTAGATCACCTATGTTATTGGAAGGTAGATCACATGTGTTATTGGTAGGTAGATCACCTGTGTTATTGGTAGGTAGATCACCTGTGTTATTGGTAGGTAGATCACCTGTGTTATTGGTAGGTAGATCACCTGTGTTATTGGTAGGTAGATCACCTGTGTTATTGGTAGGTAGATCACCTGTGTTATTGGTAGGTAGATCACCTGTGTTATTGGTAGGTAGATCACCTGTGTTATTGGTAGGTAGATCACCTGTGTTATTGGTAGGTAGATCACCTGTGTTATTGGTAGGTAGATCACCTGTGTTATTGGTAGGTAGATCACCTGTGTTATTGGTAGGTAGATCACCTGTGTTATTGGTAGGTAGATCACCTGTGTTATTGGTAGGTAGATCACCTGTGTTATTGGTAGGTAGATCACCTGTGTTATTGGAAGGTAGATCACATGTGTTATTGGTAGGTAGATCACCTATGTTATTGGTTGGTAAATCACCTGTGTTATTGGTGGGTAGATCAAGTGTGTTATTGGTAGGTAGATCACCTGTGTTATTGGAAGGGAGATCACCTGTGTTATTGGTAGGGAGATCATCTGTGTTATTGGTAGGTAGATCACATGTGTTATTGGTAGGTAGATCATCTGTGTTATTGGTAGGTAGATCACATGTGTTATTGGAAGGTAGATCACCTGTGTTATTGGTAGGTAGATCACCTGTGTTATTGGTTGGTAAATCACCTGTGTTATTGGTGGGTAGATCAACTGTGTTATTGGTAGGTAGATCACCTGTGTTATTGGTGGGTAGATCACATGTGTTATTGGGAGATACATCACTTGTGTTCTTGGTTGGTAGATCACCTGCGTTATTGGTAGGTAGATCACATGTGTTATTGGTGGGTAGATCACCTGTGTTATTAGTAGTTAGATCACCTGTGTTATTGGTGGGTACATCACCTGTGTTATTGGTAGGTATATTACATGTGTTATAAGTAGTTAGATCACCTGTATGTTTGGTAGGTAGATTACCTGTGTAATTGGTAGGTAGATCACCTTTGTTATTGGTAGGTAGATCCCCTGTGTTATTGGTAGGAAGGACCTCTGTGTTATTGGTAGGAAGGACCTCTGTGTTATTGGTAGGAAGGACCTCTGTGTTATTGGTAGGTAGATCCCCTGTGTTATTAGTAGTTAGATCACATGGGTTCCTCGTTGGTAGATCACCTGTGTTTTTGGTGGGTACATCACCTGTGGTATTGGTAGGTATATTACATGTGTCATAAGTAGTTAGATCACATAGTTAGATCACCTGTGTTATTGGGAGTTAGATCACGTGTGTTCTAAGTAGTTAGATCACAGGTATATATAAAGTTAGTTAGAAGACATGTGTTATAAGTAGATAGATCACATGTGTTATTCGTGGGTAGATCACCTGTGTTTTTGGTGGGTACATCACCTGTGTTAGTGGTAGGTATATTACATGTGTTATTAGTAGGTAGATCACCTGTGGTATTGGTAGGTATATTACCTGTGTTATAAGTAGTTATATCACATGTGTTCTTCGTTCGTAGATCATCTGTGTTATTGGTAGGAAGGACCTCTGTGTTATTGGTAGGAAGGACCTCTGTGTTATTGGTAGGTATATCACCCGTGTTATTGGTAGTTAGATCACATGTGGTAGATCACATGTGTTATTGGAAGGTAGATCACCTGTGTTATTTGTAGTTAGATCACGTGTGTTATAAGTAGTTATATCACATGTATTATATAAAGTTAGTTAGAAGACATGTGTTCTAAGTAGTTAGATGACATGTGTTATAAGTAGTTAAATGACATGTGTTATAAGAAGTTAGATCACATGAATTATATAAAGTTAGTTAGAAGACATGTGTTCTAAGTAGTTAGATCACATCGTTGGTAGATCATCTGTGTATTGGTTGGTAAATCACCTGTGTTATTGGGAGTTAGATCACATGTGTTGTTATTGGTAGGTAGATAATCTGTGTTATAAGTAGGTAGATCACATGTGCTATAAGTAGTTAGATCATATGTGTTATTGGTAGGTAGATCTCCTGTGTTATTAGTAGTTATATCACCTGTGTTATTGGGAGTTAGATCACATGTGTTCAACTGTGTTATTGGTTGGTAAATCACCTGTGTTATTGGTAGCTAGATCATCTGTGTTATTGGTAGGTATATCACCCGTGTTATTGGTAGTTAGATCATCTATGTTATGAGTAGTTAGATCACATGGGTTCCTCGTTGGTAGATGTGTTATTGGTAGGTATATCACCCGTGTTATTGGTAGTTAGATCATCTATGTTATGAGTAGTTAGATCACATGTATTATATAAAGATAGATAGAAGACATGTGTTATAAGTAGTGAGATCACATGTGTTATATAAAGTTAGTTAGAAGACATGTGTTATAAGTAGTTGTTATTGGTAGGTAGATCTCCTGTGTTATTAGTAGTTATATCACCTGTGTTATTGGGAGTTAGATCACATGTGTTCTTCGTTGGTAGATCATCTATGGTATAAGTAGTTAGATCACCTGTGTTATTTGTAGTTAGATCACGTGTGTTCTAAGTAGTTAGATGACATGTGTTATAAGTAGTGAGATCACATGTGTTATATAAAGTTAGTTAGAAGACATGTGTTATAAGTAGTGAGATCACATGTGTTATTCGTGGGTAGATCACCTGTGTTTTTGGTGGGTACATCACCTGGGTTATTGGTAGGTAGATAATCTGTGTTATAAGTAGGTAGATCATCTGTGTAATAAGTAGTTAGATCACCAATAACACATGTGTTATAAGTAGTTGTTATTGGTAGGTAGATCTCCTGTGTTATTAGTAGTTATATCACCTGTGTTATTGGGAGTTAGATCACGTGTGTTATAAGTAGTTAGCTCAAATGTGTTATTGGTAGTTAGATCACATGTTTTATAAGTAGTTAGATCAAATGTATTATTGGTAGTTAGATCACATGTTTTATAAGTAGTTAGATCACCAATAACACATGTGATCTACCACATGTGATCTAACTACTAATAACATATGGGATCTAATTACTTATAACACATGTGATCTATCTACTTATAACACATGTGATCTTACTACTTATAACACAGATTATCTACCTACCAATAACGATCTAACTACTTATAACCCAGATGATCTACCTACCAATAGCACATGTGATCTACCTACCAAAAACGCAGATGATCTACCTACCAATAACGATCTAACTACTTATAAGTAGTTAGATCACAGGTATATATAAAGTTAGTTAGAAGACATGTGTTCTAAGTAGTTAGATGACATGTGTTATAAGTAGATAGATCACATGTGTTATTATTAGGTAGATCATCTATGTTACAAGTAGTTAGATCATCTATGTTATAAGTAGTTATATCACATGTGTTCTTCGTTCGTAGATCATCTGTGTTATTGGTAGGTAGATAATCTGTGTTATAAGTAGGTAGATCACCTGTGCTATTGGTAGGTAGATTACCTGTTCTATTGGTAGGTAGATCACCTTTGTTATTGGTAGGTAGATCCCCTGTGTTATTAGTAGTTATATCACCTGTGTTATTGGTTGATAAATCACCTGTGTTATTGGTTGGTAAATCACCTGTGTTATTGGGAGTTAGATCACGTGTGTTATAAGTAGTTATATCACATGTGTTATAAGGAGTTAGATCACATGTGTTCTTCGTTCGTAGATCATCTGTGTTATAAGTAATTAGATCACATGTGTTATATAAAGTTAGTTAGAAGACATGTGTTCTAAGTAGTTAGATCACATAGTTAGATCACCTGTGTTATAAGTAGTTAGATCACATGTGTTATAAGTAGTTAGATCAAATGTGTTATTGGTAGTTAGATCACGTGTGTTATAAGTAGTTAGATCACATGTGTTCTTCGTTGGTAGATCATCTGTGTTATAAGTAGTGAGATCACATGTGTTATAAGTAGTTAGATCACATGTGTTATAAGTAGTTAGATCACATGTATTATATAAAGTTAGTTAGAAGACATGTGTTATAAGTAGTTAGATGACATGTGTTATAAGTAGTTAGATCACATGTGTTATTGGTAGTTAGATCACATGTGTTATAAGTAGTTAGATCACATGTGTTATAAGTAGTTAGATCTACGTAGGTAACTTTCCATTTCATTTAAACAACTT